TAGGAAAACTCATCAAGTCTGATGAATGGGTTATGCGTAAGCATAGTCCATTATTAGGCATGATTCAGAGTGTAATGGATCCAGGGGGTTTCTCTTGGGTGCTTTGTGCAGTTCTGGCTTGCTTTGCAAACAAGATTCTGTTCTCTGTCTGGAATGAACTGATCCCTCCCACTGCAACCATCACTCTCAAGAGGGTCAGCTCATATAATTCCCTAAGTATTCTAGAGTAAGAACAAGAAGCTGATTGGGTAGAGATATCTACGGGGGGGGGGGAATTATTATGCATCAGGATGCAAGCTCCGCCCCCTGGGTATATATGTTGTGACACTGCATGTGTATGAAAGGGGTGAAGCCTGCATCATAAAAGCAAGATGCTTCTCTAATCGGTTTGATGAATGCCTCTGTGATTGGGCCAAAAAATGCAATACAGGTGGCAGATAATATATAATCAGCACGATGACACATAAGCAAGCAAGCTCCGGAGCTATGGCAGAGACAGCAGCAAGAAAGTGTGACTTCTCCATCAACATTGTGTTTGTAATTTAGATTCCTTCTGTAATGTCATCTAATGACCTCTAATGGGATGTAATGCCTTCTCTGTTCCTGCACCTGCCCTTTGGAACAAACACCCCCCCTCCCCCCGCTGCCTACACTTTAGTCAGCCCCAAACCTATTAGCTTTTCATGGAGTGGTGAAGACCTGGCTTTACTCCCCTGTATTGGGCCTGGATGATAATTGAACCTATCCTGCCTGGAGAGCTTTCGTAATGACCTGCCTCAGCTATGTCTATATCCACTGTATAATTGTGGTTGGTGAAGTGTGTATGTGTGTGTATGTGTGTATAGTGTATTTATAAATAATTTTGGTTGGCTTTGATGGTTATTGACATGTGCTAACCAGAGTCATCAATTATGAATCGGGCAGCTTTACAAATTTCAGAAATAAATAAATAATATTGATAAGGTGTTGGACTAAGAATGAAGAGTCCTAATTCTAGTCCATGGTCAATCATAGACCCTCAATGGGTGACTTCCACACTCTTTCACCAAACCTACTCTTCCCATCCTTAAAGAGGATTGGGCTATCAATGATTATTAACCTTAATTATTGTATATTATCTCCCGAATCACAAGCAGTGTCCCTAAGGCTGGCCATTGTATGACACAGAATGCTGGACTAGATGGACTTCTGGCCTGATTTAGCAGGATTCCTTAGAGTTATTAAGGATCAAGCATAGCTTGGAGTTCTCATGGTCTCAACACCATCAATGAGGATAATCTGACCTGATTTTGCAAATACAACCCCACAGCAAAAAATGTTGCTGCCGAAAAGAGATGCCTCTTTACAAGCCTTTTATTCTACAATGCCCTGGCTCATTCTTCAAATGTTATAGAGGGTCCACTCTTCCACATGAAACTCTTCCAAGTTTTCCCACTGCTCCACAAAAATGGGGAGAAGAAGCTAGAATAGCTGCTCCATACCTTTTATTTGACACTGCTAGGATCTCTCCATCAAGAAGCACCATCTAGAAGAACCCTTCTTCTCCTTTTAGCCTTGTTAGGTCAATGAACCTGAAGTTGCATCAATCCAGGTGTTTTCAGCGGGGGGGGGGTCATGCAAGAGAGAACATTCTCCAAATGGAACCAGCTTATCCCAGACATGCTGACTCTTCATCCAGGGCAATGTAAGGGGGTCAAACAGCCCAAAAAGTACTTATACAGGAGCTGGATCCCTTGACTTAATGATTTATCCTGCCCTTACTGTATACAGGAGACAGTAGCACTAGCACTAGCACTGCAGTTATATGTATACATGCTGGATTCCACTTGAGGTTATTGTGCATTCTCATGAACTAATTATTAAGTCAAAGACGGTACCATTACACTATTGAAGGGAGCTTGCCATGATGTAAGGGCAAAGCTGGAGAGGCAGAAACCAATTATTTTCAGGCCAGACAAAATCATTATGTAAAAATGAAGCAGTTGTCTCTGACTCTCAAAGCTGGGGAAAAAAGTGCCCAAAAGTCCATTGACTCACAAAGGCAGGAGGAAAAGGCCTAGGATTTAAACCCTGGGGCTGAAACACACACACACACACACACACACACACACACAC